ATCAACATCGTTTCTTTAGGTGGATATCAAAGGATGAGGGCTCTGGGGAATGGAAGGAACGCGGCACAGGGGAGATGCGACTTTTGAAGGAGAAGAAGAGCGGCAGAGTACGCAATCGGAAGACAGGCCTTGAGTTCTGTCATTTCGATGATGTAGGTACGTGCTCTGATGCGCCAGGAAAAGACTCTGAAGATCATTGCTAATCATTACGTTGTCGAGAATGGCCCTTACTGCAGCCTCAAACCCAACGCTGGGTAAGATAGTAGTGTGTATAACACAACAGGACTTGTGTCCGCTCTAGGTCTCAGAAGTGCTGGGTGTGGATGGCCAGTGACTATGCTGAAGGTGAACAACGTACGGAGCAGTTCGCTCTGAAGTTCGGCAACCCTGAGCTCGCCCAGGCTTTCGAGAAGGCTTTCAATGAGGTATGTTCAGCGTTGTAGGATCAGCACGGGTGGTCATTTGCTCGGTTACAGGCAAAACAGGAGAATGCCAAAATCATCTCTGGGGAGAAAACTAAGAAAAACGAGGCTGCCGAGAAGGAAGAGAAGGAGGAGGAAGATGAGAAGAAGAAGGAAGAGTGAAGTTATGGTGTCCGTCGGCTATAGCTCCTTGTTTGGTGCAATTGTATGACGTTTCTATTGATAAAATAACAAACACTTGATGCCTTCCCTCCGGCTTGGGTTGGTCATGACTGTGGAGTAGGCTGTTAGTGGCTTCACTTGCACAATGACAGGCGATCAGCATTTTTGGGATGAGACGAGGAAGCCCTGGAACGACTTGGAAAATGAGCGCAGACCGGTGAAGCCGCAAAAGAAGGCGACCGGTAATAGAGTTACCCAAGATACCGGTAAGTCTTCGATTTCGAGTACTTGTGGGCCTCGCTGAATTGTCATACGTTTCTGACGATAAAAGCATTGTTTCTGACTATACAGACTTACATTCATCATTTACGATTACGTCCCATTGTCTCTATTACTAGTAGACCTGTCTTGATCTTTGAATGGCTCGCTTTCGACTCAAGTGTTGCTGTCGAAAGTTGTGTAGAGTAGATGTTATTCGTCATAGAGTGTTAGCACGAGGGACATTGTCAGGGAAAGCATCCCAAGCTATGGCTGGTTACTTTACTGATATGGTCATGCAACAAGTAATCAATGACAAGTTAAAGGCGTCATCAGTTGCGGCAGGGCATGAAATGAAGGTAATAATGCAGGTTGGTGGGATCGAACCTGCGTGGAAGCCACTCGGTGCTGACCTCAGTACTCCCTTCCGCCTCAAGTTGCACTGCCGAGCAAAAAGAGGAAAGATGAGGATGAGTCTTCGGAGGAAGGGGGTGACTCGGATAGAGAAGACCGGAAAGCGGGGGATGCGGACTTCGACCTTGAGGCTATTCGAGCCCAACGTGAGGATTCATTTTATACTCAGGGTTCCTTTGGCTGAGTCGTTAGAGTGACAGTCGATAGACCCATAGGCTGTGAGTTCGAATCGTGGTGTCGTATTCTTCCTGATCTGCTCGACTAGAACATTCTCGTGCGACTTCAGCATCTTGTTTAGAGGGAAGTACGCTAGCGGGTGCAAGACTGTTGTCGCTCGCGTATGGTGTTGACAGGACTCGCTAAGTTGAAAGCTGAGCATAAGGCCGCTGCAGAAAATCGTGCGAAGGGTCATGGGGAGCTGAGTGAAATCGTAGAGTCTGAGTTCTTGGATGCGGTGACGAAGAGCGATAAGGCGATTGTAGTGCTAGAAGGGACGTCAGCATGAGGATAGACTCACGTTGAACTGCTGTGATTATTGAGAGTTGATCCACAGTGGAATGCCCTTAGGTTCACTTCTATCATCGCAGTTTCAGGAAATGCAAAGTTATCGACAAGCATCTCAGCCTGTTGGCGCCTTTGCTACTCGATATCAAAATGGTTCGGGTAAGGGTTCTGTTACGCGCTGGTTGGAGCTCACGGCCATGTTGGGGCCTGTTGAGAGTTGTGGAGTGAAAGTAGCTGTTCTTGTGTAGTTGGATGCCCAGAAGGCGCCGTTCTTCGTGGAGAGGCTCAGGATAAGAGTACTGCCTACAACCGTCTTGTTCGTCAAGGGAATCGCCGTAAGAAACACTACGAGCTGATTTTGCACATGAAGGGTGGTTGAGTTTGCCTGGAAATTTGTGACTCCTAATAATGAGACTTCGACTATGCACTGTAGACTGTTTTCTGGCTAGCTCAGTTGGTTTGATGTAAAAGGTCATACCGTCCGTCAGGTATATCATCTTGTTGGATTTGAAGGTCTACGTTGCATAGACGGCGAGGATGTGACTACCCTTAGTCTTGCCAGAGTGCTTCGCGCGCCTCGAAATCATTACTTTCAATTCTCTATCTCAGGTACTGTATGAGAATGATATGATTTCGGATGGAGCTCTTGATAGTCTGGAGCGTAATTGACTCGCTGTTATCCGATGAAAAGGTTCGCATTCTACGCATTCTGCAGGTAATTTCGGCGACGAGCACAATCGGGCTGAACAAGGAGTTGGAGAAGCCGATGAAGATGATGAATTGAATTAGAGTCAGGGGAGGTCAATCATGTTCGTTGGTTTAATCACATTGGTCAAGTTTGATGACTATTTTGTGTTTGGTTGAATGGCCCCAAATGAAAGTGGGGGTCGCGGTACTGCGACGCGGCGAAGTCGTGAATTCCCTCGAGTACCTGCTAATTGTCAATCAGTACCTGCTAATTGTCAATCGGGACATGCCGTTCGATGATGGTACATTTTCTCGGTTATCATTTGCCCTTGATATTCTCGGACGACGTCTGGTCGATCACTGTGTACCGAGTTGTACGGTGGTCCAGGCAGGCATCATGACACGGCTAACAAGCTGCATAGAGCCGAGGAGGTCTAGGGGGCCTCGGCGGCTCTGCTGTTGAGTAGTTTTTTGGAGAGTTTGTATCGCAAATTCGTTATTTGCCTAGTCTCGAGTCGTTGATTGGCATGTCTACGGCGTCGCTGCTCGTACACCGAGAAACAGAGTTTATCGGAATATATAACTCTGACTACGATCTCGCACGAAGGCTCACCCCAAGCAGTTGATTGGGTGTCGATAAACGACAGCGGCAGGATTCGAACCTGCGCGGACAGAGCCCAGTGGATTTCTAGTCCACCTCCTTAACCACTCGGACACGCTGTCATGCTATAGTTTACTGTGCCTCTAAGAGTCTGCCTGCGCGATACCGCCGCAACCTCGGATTTGTCTCGGAAATGTGTGCGATTTTAAATGCAATTCCGATTGCCTGCAGTGTCTGATCGTTTCTGCCGAAGTTCACCTTGCAACGAAGTTCTGACAGGACTGTTCTGTCGAGGGACTGTCCTTCTGACAAAAGAAGTTTTGTTCGATCTTACTGAGCCAGGTTTGCCTGCAAATAGAGTCTTGCAAGAGTTGCATTGGTTACCGCCCTGATGAGCAGTTCTCGTTATCGTTGGTAGGGTGCGGCCCAAGGATAATGGTTATCCTCTGCCCTGCATGTATCGAGTCCATTGATACTAGGCACACGACTGAGCATCACTGCTTAGAAACGTAGAGAATGGCTACCATGGCACTCGTTCATCTGTGCTTCATACACGTAGACCAAATTGCGTCCTACCCGTTCTTGAATAGGTCATTATTGTATGTCTGCGAACCGCTGCCTATCACTGTACAGGACTGGTCCTGACTACTTGTGAATGATTCCCCAACATGGTATCGATATTTTTGTAATGGGAGGAGCTACGCCGCCATGGAAATGGATGATCACAGCGGAAGTGTTCGACCCCTCTACCCTGCCGCTCCCCACAAACACGGCGTTCTCGAGTTCACGATGACTCGATTTCATAGATCGCATCCAA